ACGGAGCTTGGATCAGACACAGACAAGTATGGAAGCAGTCCGACGCGAGCGAGCACGGGTCCTTAAAGGGTGAAAACCCGCCGTATAGCTTGTGAAGAGGAAGGATGGGGCGACACGTCCGTACGCTGGGCGTGGTCAACATCGTCCGCGCTGAATGTCGTACGACGCGATGACGGGGGGCAGCGCGCGCGATATGAGCAAATGGGGAGAAGGTTTTGGGCTCGGCAAGGTGCGCATCCAACCAAGAATTGCCGTGAAAGAGGGTGAATGAAGGGGACGGCGAGTGCGCTCGTCGAGGAGCGCGAGAGCGGAAGACACACGTGGATTGAGCCGATGCGAACCCAAGATGTCGAAAGGCCGCGCAGCTTATTGAGGACGAGTGTCTGCGTGGTGATGCACCTAGGGTCAAACACGTGACGACGCGTAGGATAGAGACAGGAAGGGAGGCGACCCACGTTCGCCCCTTTCACGTCTCAGGAAGACCGATGCCGGCGATCCATGCGTAAGCGGCAATGGTGGAGGACCAATCGCGGCACACGTACATGACGAGGAGAAGCCAGTTCTTCGGGGCCGGCTGCCATTTTGGACGTCTCGCTCAATTTGCCAAGCAGTGTAGACCGTATTCGGAAATGGCGGAAGAAGGTTCCTGCGAGCGGAGAGATCATTCATCGACGTGTCTAAGGAAGTAATTGGTTTGTGAGAATTAGGTTAAGTGTAGTGGGAGAAGAAGTGAGAAGATTGCTTGCATGTCACCGTTTTGTGAGAGAGAGAGAAATATATGCGCTCACCCATGTAAGAGTGAGTTGAGTCATGTTATGGCTCTCGAGTACTCGTCCGCCTAGGCAATCAAGGCGCGGTACGATTGGTTTGCCTATTTTGAGGATGAAAGAGAAGCATTATATTAACAGAGCGACTCATGATAGCAACCGACTAGTAATCTATTAAAGTCACGCTTTCCATGGAATTGCGCACTTACACGTGGCAATGCGGTTGGTATGAGGAGAGAGAAGACAGTAGAAGAGGAGAGACCTCCTGAGCAGAGGAGGCAGAGGGCAGAGGAGACAATGGGAGATGGCGAGGGGAGGAAGAGAGGAGGAGAGCGAAAGAGAGAGAGAGAGAGAGAAAGCAGAGAATGAAGGGAGAGTGCAAGAGAATAGCAAATATCTGCGGATATGCCGGAAATATCACCACTCGTCTAAGGAATATAGGCATAGAGACAACAAGCACTGCATGAGAGAGAAATATTCAGATTAAAGTAATTGTATTACATAAGAAATATGTTGATGTAGAGTTAGGGTCCTGTATAGCCCTGGTGTAAACGATGATAATATAAAGTAAGAGAAGTAAATAATAAGAAAGACGAAATAGAAAGGAAGAAGAGTAAGATATAAGTAGCTAAGAGAATGAGAGAGTAAATAGATATAGAGGAATAAGTAGAGATAAGGAGGAAAAGAAAAGCATGTGTAAAGATTAAAAAAAAAATAAAAACACGAAATTATAAGAGATAAATAGTAGATTAATATATAGGAATATGAGATATATAATTGTCTAATATGAATAATAAAACCCTAAGGTACCCATAGCATATTATATATATAATAAGCTCAGGCTAATGAAGGATAAGCGTAGATATGTATCGTGAGTAATTACACTAGCCATTGAGTAGTAGTATATATACTACGTCAATACTTCATACTTCATATGATTTACTTATGCCTAGCGTTGGTGTTAGCCGGTATGTGAGTGATTAGGTCTACATTAACTTATACGGTAGCTATATTATTAATTTTATATCACTATATTACTTATTTATGTTTATATTGTGGTTTCTGTTTGTTTTATTCATGTCTGTAGGACTAGTACCCCCGTAGTACCTTGTATTTAGCCTGAGAGTCTCCATCGTCTGTAGCGTGTTTGTGTTTTTTTTTTTATTTATTTATTTTTTATTATTGGGTGTACGTTTAGTATACGCTGAGCCGCTACTAGCTACGCTGCCGCCCACGCCGCGGCTGCTGGTGTCGCTCGCTGTGCGGCTGTCGGCGTGTGTAATTATCAGCCGCTATGCAACGATGAACGCACGATACGCCACGATGAGCCGCCGCCTCGGCTGACGCCCCTACTACTCATCAGCTTGACGGATACTACATAGCTAAATAGGACGTAACCGACGCCCGCACGCGCACGTACGCTGCTAGCCCCAAGATGAACCTAGCCACGCCTATATAGGTAGCCTACGAGACCAGCGCTGCCACGAGCTGACTCTCTCGCCGGCATCTCATACACGTACGCTAGAGCCCGCCGACTGCACTACTCTCTACTCCTGCGTAACCGACACACCAGCACAGCAACAATCACAGCCACCGACAGCCCACCACACCTATCAGCTACCACAGCCAGCTACGTACGACACATCACATCACCGTGGTTTCTGCGGGTTGCCTAGCCTTTGCCCCCAACATCACTACAGGCTACATCATTTCACACCACACACATTCCACAT